ATATTTACCTATATCACTGAATAACATTGAATAGCGTTCTTAGTATTCCTAACCTAACCTAACCTAACCTAACCTAACCTAACCGAACCAATCCATTACGCTATCAAGACTAAGAACATCCATCAGTTAAGTCACAAGAGGCGGATTAATTAGAGATATTTAATCCCAAATAAACACAAGTTATATATATTTAATTCCAGACTAATAAACAATATAGGAAGAATCTGGTTAACTTCATCATAGAGGCGAACGAATAAGATATAACACATCATCCAGTTCTGGGGTTATAATTTGCATATATATTGTATAAACGTCAACAAGGGGCAGCCCGGACACACAAGGGAGAGGAGTAGCTTTACCAAGGGGTGTACCTATTACTACCTGTGTTGACCTGTGTTGACCCCGTGCTGAGAGAGAACCACAGTCAACACACACACACACACACACACACACACACACACACACACACACACACGGATTAAGACCATATCATTATTATTTATCTCTTATCTCTTTTAGTTCTCTTCTCGCGGCTCGTAAAAGGAATATGACTGGGCTAAACTGTTCTCTTACACAAAATACATATATACTTTTTATTAGTTGTCACCTACCACCATCCTCCACTATCACCATCACCACCATCACCACCATCCTCCACTATCACCATCACCACCATCACCACCATCCTCCACCACACCATCACCCACCATCACCACCACTGCCACTCATCACCACCCATCCTCCACTATCACCATCACCACCACCGTTACCATCACCACCATCCTCCACTATCACCATCACCACCATCACCACCACCGTTACTATCACCACCATCCTCCACTATCACCATCACCACCACCGTTACCATCACCACCATCCTCCACTATCACCATCACCACCATCACCACCACCGTTACTATCACCACCATCCTCCACTATCACCATCACCACCATCACCACCACCGTTACTATCACCACCATCCTCCACTATCACCATCATCATCATCACCACCACCGCCACTATCACCACCATCCTCCACTATCACCATCATCATCATCACCACCATCACCACAAAAGTCCCCCCTCCCTCCACACTTCACCACCTCCCATCTGTTCGTATGGCCACGGTAAAACTCTCACACTCTGCCATAGTAAATATATCACACTGGGTCATAGGTAAATATCTCACAGTCTATAAAAAAACTAACGACCTAAATAGTAAAAGGGAGTTTAAACGTTCGGGTGAGGAGTATAATAAACGTTCGGGTGGAGTATAATAAACGTTCGGGTGGAGTATAATAAACGTTCGAGTGGAGTATAATAAACGTTTGTGTGAGGGCTGGGTTTGTTTACCTCCAAGCAGCTAATGGCCTGCCTCCATTGTTTACATTGGGATCCTGTTCAAACACTTCCTGGCACGAGACATTATTTTTACCTGGTGAGATGTTGGGTTGGGTTAGGTTAGGTTAAGCGAACTGTGGTGTAATGGTCAGCATCCTCGCCTCGCAAGCGAGCGGACCCAGGCAGGGTGAAACTATGGACAAGTTTCTTTACGTCATTTGACTCTGTCTACCCAGCAGTAATTGGGGACCTGGATGTTAATTGATTTGCGGATCGTATTCTGGGGCAACGGTTAGCCAGTGCAGTTGGCGAGTTGTCCGGTCTTTTCGGACTATTCCTTGACACTGGGTCATGCAGCTCGTTAACTTGGGGTGTGGTTGTTGTGTTGGCGACAGCTTCTACACCTTAACAAATTCACGCCTAGGAGGCCCTTGGGCCAGCCATCCTCATTTCGAGGGGCTTCCATTATTAGAGTGACTTAATACATTAGTGATTCTTTTCTCTCTCCCTCTTCCCACACTTCCCTTCCTCTCTCTCTCTATCTTCTCATAACGTACTCCTTCTTCCCTTCCCTCTCTCTCTCCTCCTTCCTTCCCTCTCTCTATCTTTCCTTCTTACAATTCTTCCTTTCCTCACTTCTTCCTTCTCTCTCTCCCTCCTTCCCTCCTTCAGCAGTAAGGGTGAAGGACAAACTCACTTAAGATAACAGATAACACGACCGACCCTCCAGTGTCAGATTATGTCTCGAGATAACACATTATAGGTGAGAGATAACACATTATAGGTGAGAGATAACACATTATAGGTGAGAGATAACACATTATAGGTGAGAGATAACACATTATAGGTGAGAGATAACACATTATAGGTGAGAGATAACACATTATAGGTGAGAGATAACACATTATAGGTGAGAGATAACACATTATAGGTGAGAGATAACACATTATAGGTGAGAGATAACACATTATAGGTGAGAGATAACACATTATAGGTGAGATAAATCATAAGTGGCATGTCTCCTTGATTACCATAACTCTGTGGATAATACCGCATAATGTGTGTGTGTGTGTGTGTGTGTGTGTGTGTGTGTGTGTGTGTAATAAATAATGGATGCCCCTCGTGTAACGAAGATGGCCGGCCCAAGGGCCACCTAGACGTGAATTTGTTTAAGGTGTAGAAACTGTCGTCAACACAACAACCACACCCGAAGTCCGAGAAGACAGGACACCTCGCCAACTACCCTGGCTAACCATTACCCCGGAACACGATCCGCACTTCGATTAACATCCAGGTTCCCAATTACTGCTGGGTAGACAGAGGCAAATGGCGTAAAGAAACTTGCCATAGTTTCACCCTGCCTGGGGATCAAACCCGGGTCCGCTCGCTTGCGAGGCGAGCATGCTGACCATTACACCACAGGTACGTATAACCAACACATCCCTACACTACACCCACCACATAACCTACACCCATCTCTGTGTTATCTAAGCATCACTACACCCCGGTCTGGTTAACTCCCGCCTCCGCCCCACACTAAAACCAATGAACCAGAAATTATCGTTCCCTGAGGCACCTGTCCACTGTTGACGCCTGAGCCACGAGGAGGGATGTGGGGCTCAGTTTCTCCCGTTCATGAAGACATCAGTAGGGGTGAGTATCGAACCCTGGGCCTTTAGGAGTTAGAGGGATGATTCTTTGATTAATGAGCCACGGATGAAGATGTTAGGGTGTATGTGTGTGTGTGTGTGTGTGTGTGTGTGTGTGTGTGTGTGTGTGTGTGTGTGTTTATATCACTATCTCTTTCCTTCTCTTAAAGTAAAATAAAAACAAACAAAAATGATAATAACGAAGAATTAAAAAGAAAAACAAAGTTTCAATTAACGATTAAACTAGAAAAAATATAATAATAATAAAAAACAGAAAATAAATAAAAATAACAAGAAAAAACAAAATAACAATAAATAATAATAAGAATAAAAGTAAACTTTACTCCAAACTTTACCTCAGTGTTAAGCGGCCCGCCCGTCAACTTCTCTCTGTCAGCTCAATATCTTAACGAGCATCAATGAGAACAAGGTAGTTAGCGCGCCACCTTCCTCGTAACAAGCTTGTTAAGTCGGTATCTTTGTTTACACTCTTGGGGGAAAAATGGCTGCCGTAACAAGGAGTCATAAACGGTCTATTTTGGTCTCTGTCTGTCTGTCTTTTTTTAGGACGGGGATGGAGGTTGGGGAGGGCAGGGAGGTTATGAGGACGAGGAGGAGGGCGAGGAGGGTGAGGAGGAGGAGGTGGGAGGACGAGGAGGGCGAGGAGGAGGAGGGTGAGGGAGGAGGAGGTGGGGAGAAGAGGAATGTGGGAGGTAGGGGAGGTGAGGAAAAGAGTAGGGATGGGGGATGAGGAGGAAGGAGGAAGGAGGAAGAGGTTGAGAGATGGGGAGGGGAAGAAGATGAAGGCGGGGGAGGAGGTAGGGAAGAGGAGGGGAGAGGAGGTGGGGAGGGCGAATGTCGTAGTGGTGATTGCAACCAAACAATGTTACCACCACAAGTCCCACACCTCTAAACCACACTTGACCCCATACAGTGTTACCAGCTAGCTCACCACACCTCTTAACCACACCAGGATCTATAGAGTACAGTGTTACCAGCTAGGGCACCATAACCTTGGCTACGAAAGGTGATGTAAGGAACTAATGGCTCTTATCTGAAGACCAACTGGACGTGATCTAATTTACATAATTGCCAAGGTTCTACAGCAACTTGAGAACGTGTGTGTGTGTGTGTGTGTGTGTGTGTGTGTGTGTGTGTGTGTGTGTGTGTGTGTGTGTTTTCCTTTGAATTTATTTCTTACTTTTTCCTTGATACTTTTTGTTGCTATTTTTTCCCTTTGAGTTTTTTCCTTGAGGCAACTTATGAATATACATACTCGTGTGAAATTACTTATAAATATATGTATATGTATAATTACCCACCACATACATATTTCCATGTATTATTATGTGATTATACATGTAGATGACTTGAATTAAAGAAACAATTTTGAGTCGCCATTTACATACAAAGAATAGTAGACAGGATTACACACACACACACACACACACACACACACACACACCGCCAGGGAGACTTACAAATGATAACACCTGAGCAACATGACACTTGGACCCCTAATTGGCACACACCTGCTACATTATGGCACCCACGCCCTTCACCTGGCGGCCACGAGACACCCACACCTGAAGGGGCTGAAGGTAAATGGCCCTCAGCTACATGTAATCACCCTGTTAGTGATAGTTCTCCTCTGATCACTAACAGGTAAGTCACTCAAGCTTCCATCAAACGGGGTCTCTCTTCTGTGAGCCGCCGTATAATTGCTCACACCTGTGTTAATTAAAAACCCCTAATTAGCAGGTAGTAAGGCAGGTAATCGTCCTTTACCTTTCCCTAACGAGAGCGGTTATTGAGGCGTTTAATTACAGGGTAAAGTGAGGATTTTCGACCATCTGTTGGCTGAGAATTCTCACCTTCTCTCCCTCTTTCCCTCCCTCCCTCTCTCCT